ATTGCCTGGTTCCTTCTACACAGCTACCTCCTGTTTTAAGGTATCCACGAGAATCAAACTTCTTCAACACCAAAAAAAATATTTTCTCTCTCATACACATACACATATGCACACAAGCCAATGTCATTGACAGAAAAAATAGAAAAGTTTGAATTTCACAAAAGAATCAGATGGGCAAGAGAAAGCCATGGTAGATCAAGATTTTTGTCACAGAATACAGTGATATAACAGTGTAAAAATATTCCTGAATTAACAGAAGCCTCTTTACACAGAGCAAATAACTTCCCCAGATTACCAAGATTTTGTAAACTGTATTTGTTTCATTAAAACCACTTTAAAATTTTAGAAATGTACCAGAAGTTAAATTACTATTTATTCTTTGAATAAATATCCACTTTATTATATGGCTTTCATTTTTTAATTTTAAAGATAATAAAAAACTTAAAAAACAGTAAATACTTCCTATAAAAAGAAATATTACGGCATATATATGTATCATTTGAGGTCAAATAATTTATATGGTCCAAATGATTTTAAAACAGTGAAACAGTGTGGTATTCATTTCTCTTCCTTCCATAGGATATTGTCCCACTAGTGTGTGGCAGATGAAGGAGCGGAACAGGCAAATGCCATCTCAACAATCCCTAAGTTATAGCATAGAAGTTTCTTCCAGACAAGGAAAAAAAATAGAAAGTCTATTCCTGGATCCTGAAAAAATTTCAGAGAAAAAAAAAAAAGAATCTGAGTTAAAAGTTAGGTCACACATGCCCTTCAGAGATCACAGAAGCACCTAGAATGATAAGAGTCAAGAACAATACAAAAGGTGAATGCCGTGGTGACCCATAGTTCTCTAGCAGAGAAGCCATCTTGGATGTAGCATGGATGAGTGCCACAGTCAGCAAAATTTAGGAGCAAGCCTCTGACTTTAGAAGTGAGTGGCAGATAAACAAGAGCTAATTCTCCTAGCTCCTCCCAAGAGCTGGGAGCTTTGCAGAATCATGTGGTCCCGTGAAAGCTTGACTCAAAAAGTTTGATGTACCTGCAGAAACTTAAGTCCAGAGATAGCTCACCAGGAATGCAGACCTGGATGTGTACTGAAGCTTATGCCCAAACTTTGAGTGATGAAGGCTCCCTCCACACTCCACATCCAAGCTAGAGTACAAACCCAGATCAGAACACTCAGTGACCAGCAGTGGTCCAGGGCATGTACAGGTGAGGTCCTTCCTCCTTAACTGCTAACGTAAAGGCTCATAATCCCACTGTAAATGTCTACCAAGGGAGACACTGTGATATAATATGTTGAAAACATTAAAGTCTGTCCCCCAGCTGCATCCCTCAATGACAGTCTCCTCTATTCCCACCGCAACATGCTACATTTCAAAGTGACAGTCACATAGCAGGGTAGAGGCATTTGTGAAAGTTCAGAACATTTGTTTGCTCCTCAAATATACATGTAAATATTGTAACCTATATTTAAATCCTGGAAACAGGATTTAATCCATCCAGGAAACATGGATTAAAAGCACTAAACAGATTCCCTAACAAAATGCCATAAGTACGCACTGTTGTCCAACAGAATTTAGTATGTCATACTTTCCAGAGTATTACAGAAAATTTCCTCCAGGGAAATATGTACAATCACTGGCAATAATAACATACCCACGAGTTGTTTTCCTAATACTGTCTTTCATATAACTGTGTCTTTGGAACATTTCACCATTACAACTTGCCACAGAATCAAAAAACTACTATGTATCCTTCTGTGGGAATGATCTTCACAAGTAATTCATGAAGCAAAGCCTCAAACTATATTCATCACCAGTTTTCTCATAACAATTGTAAAGAACTTTAGTAGACTTGTTAATATAGCAGAGTATTACAGCACAGAGTTTCCACCACAGGCTAACCTGAAATCACATAACTGCCATTCATTAAATGCTATCCTAAATATAATATGGCAAACCTTTTCAAAAATTACTAAATTCATAAATAACCAAATTCCAATATCTTGAATTTTTTTTTACGATAGTTATCATTACACTCATTAGGTCCAGAGGTTTCCTATTCAGGCTCATTCCAGGCACTTCATACCAAGGATAATTTAGCCTTCTCCTGATGGAAGGTTTAAGAGAGTCCTGCTTCTCCATGGTCTCAGTTCTGTTTTAAATGAGCTTTTGCACAAGGCGATAACTAGAGCATCTAAGAGGGGAACTTCCTGGTGGTAGGAAATGTTGTGTGCTTGATTTGCTAATAAATGCTTAATAATTGTAACACGATCCTATGCTATTTTGTAAAATGTTGTCGGTCTGTTAGTATTTTCCTCCTTTTATTTCTAAAATTAAAAAAAATAATTGTAACACGTAGAAATAACTTTTAGTAAGGCATTAGATTGATAAATTATCCATATTAATATACTACATTAAAATAAAAATATATCACATAATTTTTCAAAATCATGTAAACCTTTAGATATATATTTTGTTAGGAGTAGTTTACAGTGCATAAAGATTACATTTACTGTGGGGACTTTGTACGTGTCCCCTTCCTTTCCTCTTCCTCCCTGCTCTCTCCAACTTTTCTTCCCTTCCCCATGTGCAAAAGCTCCACTTCCACTTTTTCTTCAATATTTTAAAAATCCTTTTTCTGTTCCTTTCTTTGCCCCTCACTTCATCTCTTAATCCCCTTCGCATTTGAAAAAGATCTCCCTACTTCCTAATATCTATCTTTTGGTTTGTTCTCTAATTATCATCTGAGTTTCTCATATAAGAGAAATAAAGCCATTTTTAAACTTGTATGTCAGATTCATTTCACTTAACTTTATGGTCTCAAAATGTATGTTTATAGAATGATACTTTCAAATACATGTGAACAACTTCAGGACACTCAGAGGAATAGAGGAAGAAGGTCAGAAGGACCACTGCATGATAGGAGCATTTTAAAAGAGGTATTCTTAGCTGAATGTTTAAAATCTAGTAGAAATATATCTTAGCTATGTTTCTCTCATTACTGCGACAAAATATCTAACACCCAAGTTTTAAGGAGAAGTTTATTTAGCTCTGTTAATGGAGTTTAAGTTCATAATCAGCTGCCTCCAAGGCAGAGTGGGTTGGCAGATGGGCAACAGTTCATGGTGGCAGAAGACAGCAAAAGCAAGAAAGGAGGGGAAAGGAAGCCTCTTTGTGTCCTTCATATTGTATGCAGGCTACCTGCCCTAGGGCAGGTGTAGCACTCACACACTTAAACCAGTATTAGACCATGAATAAATCACAAACTCCAGATTAAGCCACCTCCAAAAAGTACACCCTGCCATGACTGTATGAGGTTTTGAGGGGACATTCAGACACAGATCATAGCAAAATGGCACATGGTACTTAGCATATAAGTTTCTACACGTCTGAATGTTTGTAATATTTAATACATTAATAGGTACTTATTTCAACTTTGAAAATGTTAACTACTTTCTTGGGCAGCCTGATTCAAAGTTCTTGGTTACTCATTTAAAGCAAAATGAAAGTACATGTTGATCAGTTCCACCTTTTTGTATGAATGCATCCAATGTCATGTTGGAAAAACAAAAGTTGTGGAAAGTACAAAGCTATTCAGTAAGCTCAAGTTCCTCACACAGGCTCACCCTCGTGTGATTTATAGGTACTACATTAATGAAAGATAATTAGCCAAGCAATAATTTCCATATTTTTTATTAATACAACTCACCATAACAGGTAAATTGTATCAAGTATGGAGGAAGATAAAATATACAAATATATAAGCAATGTTTCAGCCAAGAAATTACCCAAAATTATCATATTTTATTTTGCTTTAATAAACAAAACTACAAAAGACAACTGAGCAAGCAACTTGATATTATGAACTAGTCTACTAAACTCCTTTAGAACTGTGATGGGAAAATTGGTGATGAATATAGTTTGAGGTTTTATGAATTAATTGTGAAGGTCAATCCCACAAATAATAAAACTTAGTTTTATGATCCTGTGAGAAGTTGGAACTGTTACATGTTCCAAAGACACATTTATGTGGAAGACAGTGTTCAGAAAACAAATTAAGAACATGTTATTATTGCCAGTGATCATACAAATTGTGCAATACAAATGGAATTTCAGAGACTGTAAGAATTATGTTAGGTTTTTTTCCCCCACAAGAGTTAAGTAAGAGTAATGTATAACCTAGCAAATTTACTTAAACAAACTTGACTACAGAGATTGGAAGTCTTATGTTTAGTTTGGAGAAAGTTTAGTTGGAGAGATTATCTTCTCTAATCAATTATTAAAATACTTGCTTTCTCTTCTAGAAGAACACCAAGTTAGCATATTTGCCTACCAAAGGGGTTGATTAATGTTTAGCAAACATTGATAAAGTGAATTACACACAGGAGGCACTCTCCATTTCCATCTCAGTTTAGACATTTTCAAAATTTTGTAGAATGGGCTGCACTGAAGAAGGTGAATATATTCTTCATATCTACAGTGTTAATTCAGAGTCATTGTAAGCAAATAAGGGAACATATTAATGCTTCAGACCAAATGGTATCCTAAGTGATCACTGTCATTTACTAAAACAGAACACATACTTTAACCTTTTTTATCTTCTTTTTCCCACTATATTTAAAATGAAGAACAGTCACTGAATCAATGAAGAATCTTATAAAAGTAAACAAAAAATATGAAGTTGCGGACAATGTGAAAATTGTCTTTTTTCTTGTTGCAAGCTACTAAAGTTTCATATTGCTACTATAATGTTATTTTTTGATCTTTCACTTATAAATAGTCTTGGGTTATACAATGTGATACTTATTTCTTTCATTTTATTCCCCTTTGCTTTCTCTATGATAGGTAACTAATAGTTCTACGAACAGAAAAACAAAGCTTTCTCATTAAAGACTGTGGCTTCATCAGAATTGTGTTCAGAGGTGTTTCACTGTGACTATCTCAGCTGACGGCACAAGTGCAAACAGACCAAACACATTGTCACTAAACACTCACCGCAGTTGGCTTCATCCGATGCATCTGCACAGTCTGGATCCTCGTCACAAACCCACAGCTTGGAAATGCAGTGTTTGGTGGTTTTACATCGGAAATAGTCAGGAGAACAGCTGTTTTCAGCTTAAGAGGAAAACATCTATGAATATGTAGATTTGAAGGACAACCGACATTTTACTTATAAAAAGCAGTTAGAAAGTGTCTAAGACAGTTTATTCAAAGGGTATGTTCTTTTCAATTGACTAGGGTCTGAAAATAGGGATTTAAAATTTTTAGTATTTCTAATGTGTTCCCAATGTCCTTTCCAGTAGAAATAAATAAGGTAAACATATTTCTGCAATAACACATTGCTAAAAATTAGAATTAAAACCCTCTTCATTACACATTTGAAAACAGATTTAAAAAGAAAGGAATACAAGTTCTTTCAAAGTAATGTTCCAGTAATTTAGAATTTCACATTTTTATTAACAGAAATAGATCAGAATTGGAAGACATTAAGTGAATGAAGAAATAAAAGCATAAAATTTAATCAAAGTGTCTAGGAGATGCTCTGAGCTTTTGAGGGAAATAGTGAATATCTGACTCAGACTGTAAACTGCTTCACAAACCCTGGCTAGCTTAATGAATCAGCTTCTAGAATGGCTGGCCGTAAACAACTAACCTGAACTGCCTTGATTCTCAGTGCACCATCTTAATCAAATTGCTGGATGGCTGCACATTATTTACTGATAAAAGTTTTAAAGGAATAAAATAAAACTTCAGCAGGGCAGAAATGTTGACAGTAGTTGTGTTGAAAATGTGAGACTTGACAGGTGCTTAATCCTTCAGATTGTGCAGATGTGGGGGTGTGGGTTGTGTCCGCATGCGTACATGCATCGAATGCATTGTGTTCACTGTTTTAACTTTCCCTTGTGTACTTTGGTCTTTGGAAAGAGACTGAAATGCAGAGTGAACAGAAAAAAGCATTTCTTCTTCTTATTTCCAGGGGCCTGTTCAGGTTTCTTAAACGGAATATTATTTATAATTCTTTACAAGTATCTTTGTTAGAGTATTTGGCTAAATTTTCAACATCTTCTCAGAGTTTCCATATGTATTTCATAGGAGAAATATTTCTAGTTAAAATGGAGTTCATTTTAAGCTACTACCTATGATAGAAGTACGTTAGCAGTTTCTATTTGATATGGGCAAAAGATCCATTTACGGAAAAATCCATAACCGACCACAATGTGGTTTCTCTTGAGGATGATGATGAATGGCTGTCACACATGTTTGTCATAGCCCTTAGGTAGATTTTAAAGATCCCCCATGTGTCACTTATCTGTATATTTTAATCTGGAACGTCTTAGTTGCCCATCTGAATTGGCACCTACTAACACTTGTCTGATCAGTATCATTTCCTTGTCTTTCCACCTGGTAAAATTCTATGTTGAATATTTTTCAAACTAATTTCTGTTGAGAGTCAAAAGTAAAACATGACAGGGCGTTCTCTGGTGACTTACGGCAGTCTCTTTCATCTTCTTCGTCCCCACAGTCGTCCTGCCCGTTGCATCTGAGGTTTACTGGGATGCATTTCTGGTTCTTGGTACACTTGAACTGACCCGACAGGCAAACATGTGTGTCTAAAACAGAGTGAACAAAAAAGTCTGAGCCAAGCTTTATGTCTGACTTAAATCAATGCATCCATAATCCAAAATTAGATTTACACTTTCTAGGAGTTTAATCACCTACCACAGTTGAGTTCATCTGAGTTGTCCCCACAATCATTCTCTCCATCACAGATGAATGCAGGCAAAGCACAGAGTCCAGTGCCACACTGAAATCGGCCGGGCTGACATTTAAACTCAGCTGGGGAGGAAAATGCATAGGTATTATGGGTGGAACAACACTTTCACCTGAGAGCATCTTAAACAGAGCCTTTCTGACATTCAAATATTGGTTATGTTTTTTACTAGTGTATCCCAGAGCACAATATTCGTGTCTCCCATGTACAGAGCTGTTATATTCCTATAATATAGGTGAGTTATAAGCAATTTAGGAGCCCACTGGATTGGATTTCATATACTAAATATTAAGAGGGATGGGACCAACAATATATAACTATAAATAAACTTTTAAAAAGCATAAAGTATGAACTAATTTCACTGAAGTGGGGTTGAAACATTAAGTTGCAGATTAAAATTGACTAAGATACAAAAACTTTCATTCTAATAGTCTAAAAATAATTTCTCCTTGTTCATTTTGTTGTCTATGATATGTCTGTGCTGTGTATATCTGTCTTCAGTGCATATTCTCTAATATTACTTAAAGTATATGCTTCCTCTATAAGGTCTAAGTGAAATTTATTGATATTTACTTCTATAATATTCATAATAAGGACAATGTTTCAAATATAATTCATATATATATGTATATGCCACAATAAATAATTCACAAGTGATAATGCATTTTCTTTTGCTATTTTATTTGATTTTATATAATTAATAATAAAGCAGAATCCACTGTGTATCTACTTTGTACCAGGCACTGAACTACATGTTATCACATTCAGTTTTAAAATTAATTTCATAACCTTCTCACTTTGGTATCACTAAGCCCATTTTGTAAATGAGGGAATTTAGTTTCATGTATATTAGTAAATCATCCCTGGATATTTTCGAGTACCAGATTTGGATTTCAGATCTAAATCTGACTCTGAAGTCTCACAAATTCAATGTTTACAGTAGAATATTTAGTTTTTGACTAATGATCTACTGTACATTATTAATCACTGACTGAGATTAATAATGTGGTATTCATTAGTTCAAATCAGTGAATCAAACATTAATAAATGAGATTTCAAACTTTCCTTGACAAATAAATTATGGTATTACAGCACTGACTAAAAATGTAAATATTATTAAAAAAACTTAATCTTATTTTGAGCTTTAATTCCATAGACATAACAGAATTCTAAAATGGTGAGTTATTCACTTTCAATTAAAATTTTTCAATCAGTTTAAATGTTTAAACTATAGATTTTTTTCTTATACACTATATATGTGACTTTCCTCTAATTCTATTGCTTTATATATGATTTTCTTCAACATTTCTTTGTCACACAAATAGCCCTTCCATAAAAATGACTGCATCTATTAAATAAATGCATGATAGCATAAATCTGCAATCTCAGCACTCTGGGAGGCTGAAGAAGAAGGACACAAGATCAAGCTCAGTCCAGGCAACTTAGAAATTTAATACGAGTTTGTCAAAACAGTAATTTTACTATTAAAGAATGAAAGTGAAAGGTTTAGTTTTGTCAGCATGAGTCAGCATGTCACTGCCAGGCATTTCTTACCTAGGGGCAAAGAAAATGATTGTAATAATTATAGTCATTGCACTGCTTTTTGCAGGAGTGCTAAGCAGAGGATTGAAGACATGAGCAGTCAGGTGAACACTGCCTCAATCAGGAGAGCACTGTCTTTCTATAGGTTTGTTATGCTTGTCTATTTCCATATTCTTTCAGTGATAATTTACAGTTAGCTATCAGTTTGCTGATGGAAAATGAACATGTAATGTTTTTTCATCTGTTTATTTTGCTAACTGAATGATGCTACTATTATGCTAAAAAGGAATGTCTATGAAATAAGAGGGAATGCCAATATTTGCCTCTAGAATGATCCTTGCTGTTCTAGTAGCATCATAAGAAATTCAAGTGCAAACTTATAACAGCATTTAATTCTTTTTTGCCGTATAATTCTTTATGCATCACCTCTAACCACACTTGTGTAAATAGCACTATGTAACTTGATCAGTATGGGACTTTAGGAAAGGGCTTTCTCGCCTTCTTTAGTAACAGAAATTGTCAGTGGCTCTTGCTTCCTACAAATGTTGATGATACAACATGCCAAGATGGTACCTAAGCACTCCATAGACTCATTATTTTCCATCTCCCCATCATTCTCAAAGTGTCAGGGCAATACATATTCACCCATTGAGTACAAGTAAACACTTCTTGCTAAAGACCAGAGAGAAAAGGTCACCAACACCATTAAAAGTTTATTTGCTAAAGGCCACAGAGATAATGCCATCAATAAAATCATGAAGGACTTCTAGAAGGAAAGATAAGGAAACATCACCACAATAGACTGAGCAGAAATTTGTTGGAGATGTCACCAAAAACACAGGTAACAAAGGTAAGATAGATAAAAGGCATTACGTTAAGCTAAAATGATGGTTCTACCCTGCAAAGGAAGCATCAAGGATGAAGAGAGAGGCTAGGAAAAAGAGAAAATGTTTACAAACCATGTATCCTGATAACAGGCTACTATCCCAAATATATGAGTATCTCAACAGAATACTTTGAAAACAAATGATTAAATTAAATAATTGCCTAAGGATTTAGTATGGAAATTTCAAAAACAAAATGTAGAAATAGCCAAAATATATTTGAAGAAATGTTCAACATTACTAAACACCTATCTATCTATCTAATCAATCTATATATCTATCATCTATCTTCTATCTAGGGGGAGAGAGAGAGACAGAAAGAGAGTGAGAGGTTTACAACTGGATATATATGAACTAGTTCAATTATTGAATCATGAAATGAAAAATAAAATCAGTATATATTGAAAATATATGAGCACCCCGTTAATTGCTATAGGATTATTCACATACTTCAATATACAGAATCACTCCGTGCAGATCAATAAGTGAATGGATAAGTGGATATGGAAAATGTGGTATGCATGTGCATCTATCTATTGAGCAATCGGTCAATCAATTGACGCACACACATATATAATGAAACATTATTAAGCTTTAATAAAAAATGAGGTTTTTTTCATCTGTTATAACTTGCAGGCAGCTAGAGAACATTATGTTAAGTGAAAAATTCAGGTGTAGAAAGATATATCATTGCTTACACATAGAATCTAAAAAACTTGAATTCATAGAAAGAAAGTGAAATGGTAGTTAGCAGAGGTTTGGAGCACATTGAAGAGATATTGGTCAAAGGAAACAAAATATCAGATAGGAAGAATAAGTTCAAGAGATGTACTGTACATCTTAAGAACTATACTTAATTGCAATGTTGTACATCTGGAAATTGCTACCAAATAGATTTTATGTGTTATCACAACAAAAAAATGAAAAGCATGTGAGGTAGTGCATATGTGAAGTGCCATGAAAAATGTGTATATTATACAGTACAACACAGATGTGTAATTAGTATTTGTAAATTAAGAAATGAAATGTGTAGATACTAGTATTTACCGCTCAAAGACACTACATTAGTATTTTATCTCTGTTTTCTGAAGTTGGGGAAATGCCAAAAATGCATTTCATTGAATGCCATGTTTTCATGGCAATATAAATCCAGTGTGAAATTTCAGTTGATTGTCATCACAGATAGGGAGCACCAAATATTTTAAAAGGAAAAACACTTCAAGCTCTTCACTGCATCATTGGTCATCGTGGTGATATTTACTGAGAAAAGACTGTATCTGGGTAGTAAAGGTCATCTTCTTAATTCAAGGACTACATTAAAATATTCAATACTGTGTGTCTTTATGAGCTACAAATATAAATTATGAAATAAATAATAAATTTCTCTTGGTATATAAAACAGTGAGATCACTAAATTAACTATATAGTAATTTTTATAGTAGTTTATACAGTCACTTTTTTGTCTTTTATGTTTTTTTGAGACATGGTCTCCTTATGCAGTTCAGGCTGGCCTTGAACTCACTTTGTAGCCAAGGCTGGTCTCAAACTCACAAGGATCCTCCTACTTCCACTTCCCGAGTGCTGGGATTACAGGCATGCACCACCATGCCCGGCTATATACTGATTTAAAGGGAAAAAATATTTCATATATCTATCAATCTATCTATCTAGGTATAGATGATATATAGATATATAGATATGTGTGTACTGCTGGATATATATGCACTAATTAAATTACTAAATCAAGCAATAAAAAATAAAATCAATATATTGAAAAGATATTACAGTGTCAATTGCTGCAGCATTATTCTATTGTACATATTCTACTCATACACTATTTTTGGGGGGGTAGGGTTCTGCTAGGCAGTCTGTGCTGACCTACAGTGGCCTAGGTGGGCCTCAAATTCACAGTGGTCTTTCTGTATCAGTGTCCACAGTGCTGGGAGTACAGGCATGTGCCATCATGCCTGGCCATACAGTAGTCTCTGTAAGTTGTCTATCATAATAAAAGCAACAAAAAAAATTATTTAAAAAATTAAAGAACAGGAAATCTTCTGTATATAAAGATTATGTTAGAAAAATATGACTTTTATAACGTTTTTCCTTCTTACTGATTACTTGCTATTTTCACATATACAAACTGTATGACACAACTTCTATTGTAAGATAGACTTGGTCATGACCAGGGAGATGGAACCCAGCTCATCTAAGCAACTCTCTGAACTCTCTAGATTTGAAATAGGCTTATAATTAGGTGGTGAAAAGCTTCAGCACAGAAAGTAACTAGCTTTCAGTGCAAACCTCAAGATCTTGAACTCGATTTTCAAGGCCAAATCATGGCAAACATCCACTGAGATGTTGAGGGAATTCTCATGATTGACTAACAGCGTCTTCAGCTTGAGAGGACAGTATTAGAGTGACCTGTGGAGTGAACTAGCAATGGAAAACCTGTGGACTGTCTATTACCACCAAAGTTACCAATGACCGTTAAAACAGTAGCACTGAAAATGCCAATCACAGTCAGAAGGCATAATTGGTAGCCGATTGACTACAACTGGTGAGAACATACTAAATTGTCTAAAAGCAAACTAATCATTATTATTGAAAAAATCTGACTTTTAGAGGGTTTTTTTTTGGATTTTAATACTGAAAGAAAAATTGAAAGTTTAAATTCTTTAAAGGTAAGATTTCAGTCATTGTGTGACATTCTAAAGCCTTGCTTATTCTTGCTTCCAACTTGGCTATACGTTGGGCCAAAATTAGGCCACTTATTACATTACTGAACACTACAGGAAGCTATATCATTATTCTACATGTAATCAAACTTGATAAAGAAAAAGAAACACAAATTGCTGATGGTGTCATTCTAACATTTTAAAAGCAGGACATAATCAAGACATTGTAACAGCTTTTGCTATATTTTCAAGAATTATCACATGAACCCTTTGCATTTCAATTTTGGAAAAGTACTGCATGAGCAAAGACTTTAAGCAGAGCTTCAATTATCTAAGTCTGGAATGTAAGGAGCTTTAAATTGTAAACTGCAACATTTCCCAAGTACTCACGACAGTCCTCCGGTTCATCAGATCCGTCGCCACAGTCATCCACGGTGTCACATTTCCACCAGAACGGGATGCATTTGTCAGTTTTGCAACGAAACTTTCAAAAAGGGGGAAAAATACAAGGTCCATTTAAAAATTCCCTGAGGCAGTACGGCTATCCTACTCTCTTGTTGTAATTATGAATTATACTGGATTTATTGCTCTACTAAAAGGAACAGTTAATGTTTAATTGTTGATCAGTCTTACATGCCTGTATTTGATTATCTGAGTAACCAATCTGAAGATATCAATATGTAATACAACAACCACTGTAAATTTCCCATCACCTTGAATGAAATTCTATAGTGCTTGTATTGTTTTTGTGTTATTTTGTAAATATCTGTGTATTTGTTAATATGTTTTCACTCTTTTATCTTTAAAATAAAATAAAACCTTCTACAATAGATAATAAACATATAAAAGGTGGCCACAGGATATGCCAGCAAAGTCCATTGTTCAGGGAAAGCTCCTGAGAGCTCCTGTCTATAGCGCAGTCACTAAAGGGCATACGGCCTCAGGGATACTTCTATTCCAAGAGCCAAGTTAAGTAGTTGCTGTGGAAACTCTATGACCCAAAGAAACTTAAAATGTTTGCTCTCTAGGCCATTACATAAAAAAAAATTTGTTAAACACTACACAGGCTTAAAATTAGCAAGAATATCAGGAAGATATATCAAATGGTATATTAATCTAGTTAATTTGAGTTAATGTATTGAATGGTGTTGTTTACAGAGACTTGGGGGAATCAGTACCTCTTAGCCTGTGTACTTTAGCCTCCAGAAAACGAGCTGTAGATCACTGCGAGTTCTCTAATACTGTGAGTGCATGGAAAAGTTCCATCCCACTAAAACATCACCTTTACCAATAGTATCTGACCGTATAAACTTCAGGACTACCTCTTTGAAACAATGGAGGTCAACACAGTTTCAGATTTTAGAATGAGTAATAAATACATAATGTTTATCAGGATAGTAAGTTGACATGGTATAGTTTTTAAAAATCCTTTTTTACTAACATTTACATTTACTTTAAACAGAAACACAGGAGTAATTTTGCATGAGACTTGTGAAGATTATATAAATAACTATTCATTGAAATTGGATTAATGTTTTTATTTGTTCTCTCACCCTTTTAATTTACAATACCTGAAGAAATATTCACAGAAAAGGTAATAATTCTACTAACTAGAAGAAAGAATAGGGTTTTGTTCTGAACTTGTCCTTTAAAATTAGCCATCAAATAGAAGATTTACAATCAAGATGCCAGTTGATACTGCTATGTGGCAATACATATGTATAGGTTTATTTAGCATACAGGTGGTTTTTTAGAGAAACATTTCAGAAAGTTACCATTGCATGCTGTTTATTGAAAGTAAGGTGGTTTAAACCCAAATTACACACCATGTCAGAGCACACAACTATTTTATTTAGCAACACAACTGGATAATTGCTCACAGTGACTAAAAGAGATCAATTTATTCTTGAATGATCTCTGATTACAAATTATTTCTTTCTTACCAACATGCAGATAGGAAAAAAAAGAAAAGAAAATTACACTTTCCATGGAGATAAAAGCTACATACAATGCAGTTGTCATTAAAAGTTTCAGTTTAAATTATGAAACCAAGCAAAATAGAAAATTTGGTCAATATCTTCTAGGACTGCCACATTATTTTCTTTTTTATTTCAGTAGGAATTCTGAGAAAAGCACATTATAATATTATTTGAAATTTTAAAGATTTATTTTCTTTTTGAAGTGTTTATAATTCCCAAGCATGTGGTTGATGGAGAGCTGGCATTTATCTTAATGTATTGCATGCAAGAAAAGAATTTCCCACAGAAAGATATAACCTCAGTTCAATTATCTCTAAAGAAAATGGATTAGCAATCTAGGAATTTATTCACTTAAAATAGTATTACTTTCTTCCAGTAAGAGAGAATTTCACGTTAGTTTTTGCACAAGCTGATGGCGTCTTGGAGTTGATTTAGGGTCGAGTTACATTAAATATGAGAGTGAATTTTTCTTCCAGTGCAGTCTGGGAGGGAACAGAGCAGTGCGAATCTAAAGGGAGACCTAAATGTTGAAGTGACTTTCTCGTATTTGCTTAGCCTCGGTCATGGCTGTTGTGGTTTTTCATAAATTTCCAGATGGAGAAAATTACCTTTATTCATAGTGACTGTCTGGGGATATGAAGCTCACTCTGAAAGCAGGTGCCCTGAACATTAAATATTTCCAGTCATTACAATATATCAAAGCACACTAGAAAGAGGATTGGAGGTCTCCTGGGTATCTTCAAAGTGTGCCTGATCATGTTTAGAAAAATTTCTAAAATGCATTTTTTAAAAATTCCCTAAATAAAACAGATTTAAATAAATAACTTTTAGAATTATATGTGACATGGCCATTTTTATCTCCATTTCATTTTTAATAAGGACATAAGTGTTCCGAGTTAAGAGAAGCCAAGGTAGGATATATTTATGTTAAGTTTTTGTGTGGATCATTTTATTCTCAGAAGATTTTTTCCATTTGATGTCTGAGCTTTATTTTTTTCACACTTAATTTTAGTTGTTTAAAAGACATAAATAGTAAATACAAATACAAAGTATTTTACATAGTAAATGTTCTATAATACTACGATATTCATAAAATAAATTCCAGACTGTAATTATCACCCACAAAAAGAAGCTATGAAAACTAAACACATGTCTGCTGATCTGAAAAAAAAAAACAAAATGAAAATCCTATTATGTTGAAATACATTTGAACTATAAAGAGTCTCCACTTAAAACATGAGTCAAGCCATTTTCCAAAATTGTTTTCGAATTAAAATGATTTAACTTAACCATGTTTATCAATTAGTCTTATAAGAACTGGAATTACTGTTGACCTTTTACAGATCCTCACATTGCTTCACTCATTCTTATTACTGTGATGTGTCAATTTTATTTTTCTAGAAATCCATCATACTTTCATGTTTCTGTATTATTTCATTGGTAATAACCATTAGGTTATAAGAGATTAAGCTTCCTCAGTAATTTTCATCAGAAGACTTAAGCTATGATCATGAACTACTAAAATTTTTGCTCTTTTACATATCTACCTCAGCAAAAACTGTGTTTCGATGAATTAACTTTTCTTTAAGAAGTTTTTGATAGTGCATTTTTTTCTTTCCTGAGATCAGACAAGCATCATTGGTTAAAACAGCTACATAAACCAAAAAACTCACAGAAATAGCCACTAATGAGTTGTGTCAGTTGTTCATTACTATCTTTTTTATTAATGATAAGACAAACGGAGTAAGAACTTTTTTTTTTCCAAGTAGTGCAACAGAAAACAAAACCTGTCTGGATCACATTTTGGTCTATTTGTTCAGTTTTGTTATTTTAAAATCTATGATGAAGATGACCAAGTACTTGAAAAATCTAAGAAATACAGTCTTGCCATTGATATCAAGTTAGGAAATAAATTAAATATATAAGTAGTAATTTCTGGTTGACTAAGGTTTTTCATTAATTGGTTGATCAGACTTTTGGCACTGAATAAGCATAATTATAGATTTTTTTACATAGCATTTTGGAAAGTTGTGTTCCTTTTTGCTTGTATCAAGGCTGATGTCATACTATCTGTGCCTTGTATTTGGGATATCTATCCTCGCTTTATACCACTGTTAGTTGGCTGTTGAGGCTCACCACTTGTAGTGTGGCCACTGAGGGCATTGGTGGTCAGCTCTGCCAGGTCAATAATGGCTTCATTATTTTAGGTCCCAACACAATGATTTGGCTTGCTCAGCACTCTGCAGTGAGGGTCAAAGGTTTTTCAGCATAACCAGCAGGGTCAGTTGATAATTGTTCTAAAGAAAACTAATAGGAATTATGTTTTAAGATTAAAATGACACAATTTTCCATTAAATTTTACTACTAATTAAGGAATAATCAGCTCACTGATGTTATCCTCTCTAATGATTTAAATTTCCAATTCTTTAAAAAATGAATTTTTAAAAATGAACACTAAGGAAATTATAATGAGAACAGCACACTTTGTAAAGAAAGCAAAGTCTATGGCCTGTGCTTTCAGCTAGACATGAGACCCTTCTGATGGCAGTGCACATTAATCGCACATACACTTTTTTAATTATATTCCAGTTGCACTAGAGGGCAAGGTCAGTTACAACAACTATTACCTACCAGAGACTTTTCCCATTTGTATTCATGAGAACTACCTGGAAATGTTATTGCTCTTATTTGAAAGTCCCCTGCAATTCTTACGTGGAAATCTGTCACTCAGTGATCCTGGGAGGTGGGGCCTTAGAGGAGATCAGATTATAAAGGACCCCACATTCATGAATGTGTTAATGTGGTTCTCTCTCTGGGGAGTGCGCTAGTTACCAAGGGAGCTACCTCGTTATAAATGGGAGTTCTCTCACATGTTCTTTTACTTCTTCTTTCTTTCCTCCACTCCATTCTTTCACCTGATGCAGCCTTTTAATATTGAACTCACAGTGTTCAAAACTATGAGAACTGATCAAACAATACGCCTGGTAATCTGAGCAACTACTTGGAAGATAACGCTATGCAATATAATAACCATTGTTTATTTCCTATCATCTTGTTTTGAAACTCTGTATCATTTATATTGTTTCTTTTCTCTTTGAAATAAAGAAAAACTATGAGAAATAAATTCGTGTCTTTTTTTTTTAACACATTATACTGTCTGTGGTTTTCACTGACATGGCAGAAAATCATCTTAGAAAACCAGCACCCCATTAAAACATGCAAATACAAGGAACCAAGAAGATAGGTTAAAAAAAAAAAAAAAAAAGGTAGCTAACAAATCTAAGTAACCCAGCCAGTTTAAAGAGGGTTCATGATCACAGTGACTAGCTTCAGAGTCTATGCTCGTAACCCTTAGAAGTGCTGACATGCTGGAAGGGTCTGACAGCTTCCTGTTACACTGTCCTCACCAGCATGACTCATTTTCTAATCAAAGGGCACGCTGAACTGCTATTGGTTTCTCTGTTTGGAACATAAGCTCATTCAAAGAGAAATTTAATTTCTTTCCTGAAAGTCACTGCTAATACCTGGAAAATCAACAAATACAAAGCACAAAACTCTAAGAGTAAATTTTGTCATTTAAAAAAAAATCAAGGCTTATTTAAACCTTTATCTCCAATTAAACAAGATAACCCCTCAAAGATAACAAAGGCCAATTATAGAAAGTCACATGACTGGTCTCCACAGTTTGAAAGCATTAAACTTGAGTCAATGCAACTACCTTTAAGTATAAAATTATCCTGGAATAGCATCAGTAAAAATAATTAAATTTGAAAGAAAAAGAATATTTTCACAAGGAAATTATTTTGGCTTTCAATTAAAAAAATTCTAGAGAATTATTCTATACCCAGTTAATCTTTCAGCTATCACTATTTGTGAGGAGTGGGAGACGGTGTGAATGGTCATGCAGAGCAAATTATCTAGGAGGATATTTTTGTTTAAATTCCCCAAGCCTCAATTTCCCAGTCATCTTAAACTATGTACAATCTCCTTTGATACTGCCCAAACGCTCATTGAAGATATGAGCTATTATTCCCAGTGGACTTGGGTAAGAGTGGTTTTACTTTTGTCTCTCTACTCTAGTGCCTAAAGTACTACTTTAAGGCTATCTCTAAACATACATGTGTTTAGAAACAAAAGAGATCAAAAATTAATATTTCAAAACGGGTGCCAGCACATAAGCAAACTCAGGCAAAACTTGTATAAAAACTTGCTCATCAGCAACGTATTGTCTCACTAGTGTAAGAATCTGAGAAAGCGAATAAAATTAGGAGGTATGACAGACATTGTGAAAGGAAAAGAAAATGCTCAAAAGAAAAAAGCAACTGGGGTGAGGGAAAAGAGAAGAGAAAGAAGGGGAAATTATGTATATATGTGTATATAGGATAGCAAATATAGATGTACTACTGACTTCTATCACTTTACCGAAAGTGATAGATTACTTTTATTACCAAAAGTGATAGATTACAGTTAATGATTACTTAGTTGATCAATCTTGCGTGTCTCTATTTGTTTTCCTGAGAAGCCACTTTGAAGATATCAATACGTAATACAACAACCATTGTTAATTTCCTACCACTTTGTCGGTAACTCTGTATTGTCTGTATTGTTCTTATGCTATTTTTTAAATGGATGTCTATTGTTAATGTTTTCCTTGTTTCATTTCTAAAATAAATTTAAAAAAGAAAAAACCTTGTTTATAAAAGAAAACAAATAAACAAACAAAACACTTGCTCATACACCCCATGAGATGCTTTCAAGTCTCTGACTCACTTGACTGGCTGTGCAGTTGGATAGACAAGTCCTGTTATCAGCTGCAAGGTAGAAGTTGGTGGGACATGCACAGGTGTGGGTCTTCCCAGGAGCTAACAGGCACAGGTGACTGCAACCACCATTATTTACCATGCAGAGATGTTTGGAGACTACAAATGAGAAAAGAAAAACAATAAAACAGGAACAATAATATAGCATGGGATTAGAGATAGGACACTGGAACGTCACCACTTATATTTGAAGCAATTTTTGTAATAAAGTACGTATCATGAATATAATGATAAGGGAAAGTTTTACAAATGCTACTCAGGATCTAATGACATTGATTTGACTATTAAACAATTTTAATTATTTCTACAAAGCAAGTATAGAAGTAAATAAAAAGCTCAGAGGAAAAAAAAAAAAAGAGACCAAGGATATTTTTAGATGGAGACATCAACATGTTTAGAATTATAAAGTAAAAGAAGACAATGAAATGATGCTCTAGAGCTGGTAGTATTGGGGCTTTGCTTTGTAGGCCTGATTGTTCTTTCAGTAAAGTGATCAAACCTTTATTCCACATTGCCTAGCAGAAACCCTATTAGATGAATGCATAAGCAAATTTATTACAGTTGTAGCATTTTAAACCCTAAGCTATTTAAACGTTATTCCAATCAGTATTCTAAGGATCCTAAAAAATTGCATCCCAAATTTAATCTCCACTTCTCTAACCCCACTGCATTATCATTTCAGCTTAATATGATTTGAACAAATCAATAATTGTGTTATAATTGAGCTTCTCCTCATACCCTGTAATAGCAGTACTTGATATCAGCTGAATTCATTGTATAAAGCAATGCTATTAATGAAATCTTGTCATTTTTCTCAAAAGTAAAATTACACCTAACCCTGGTAGAATAAAAAATGGAATACTACCGAAAGATGCAGATGCATTGATGGAAATCATGGAAAGAATAATTACCATCAGGCTGTCTGTAAGAATGATACACTTGGACATCTGTGATGATATGCCATGAGCTAACCAGTGAGAGTCTGTCTGCTCCCGAGGTTTTATGGACACGGCTGAGTGACTTGGTTTTCCCATCAGTCCAGTAGATGTAGTCTTCAAACAATGTTAGTGCAATCACCCCTGGGATATCTTGATTAGGGACTGTAATAGGAGATGGTAGGATTAATATTCAGTCTTGGAAGACTGCCAGTTAAAATATTCAGTATTACATGGGCTGACACATAGGACTGCGACAGAACTTCATGTGAATAATTGCTGTGACAACCTGTCAGGCCAGCAAGGGTCTTTATTACTGGTTAAGAGGATGTAAGAGTGGGCTCAGGAGTTCACTTTTCTCAGATTTAGCTTGGTTCTACCACTGGGAAGAAAATAAATGTGATTCTGCTCACCATAAGAGGAAAGCTACTTCATCGGAAACAAGTAACAGCCAGTATCTTGAAGTCCACAATGGAGATGAATTAATCTCCATTCAAGTTGGTTAAATCCTTAAATCTAAAGGCCATTGCCCAGTTCTCTCTCTTGTTTAAAATGATTAAATCATGTGTCAATGGTGAAACATGTCTACTACCTGGAAATAGAGTACTATGAAATTACTATCAACCATTTCAGTCATTGAGATTTTTACCTGCAAGAGGAGCTTAAAGAAGGGTAGAGTAGGGGGAAATGCAGGCAGAAATGACAATGAATGACACAGATATAATAGCTGTAAAACTGTTTAGTAGCAGATTCAAATTGTTTTATAATTAGGCTTTCAATATAAAATTAGTTTAAATATATGCAATATGATACTTTTGTTCAAGGGATTTCAGGGTCATATCAGATAATGAAGATATAATAAATTTATTTCTAATTTGGTGAGTCTAATGATTTTCATTATAGTTTTCTTTGTGTTGCTATTTTCCCAAAATTATTAAATTATCAAATTCAGAAATTTAAAAATCAGTACAATATATTTTCTATTTTAACTTTCAGATTACTTTTAAAGTTCTATCTTCATCAGAAAACACATTAAAGCTCCAGGAATACATACTTTTTCATGACTTAGATTTTAATTGTGAGAATTAGTGTTTGTCATACTCCTATTCAATTGCAACTAAATTTCTATCAAAATTTCAAACATAATTTACTTTCACATGCAGCTTACCATGTCATTTTTAAAATGAGAGGTAGATATATGATATCAACTAAAATTGCTTGAAATTTATTGATTTGTTATTTTTGTTAAGATAGGCCAAATGTGATCAGAAAACTCATTATGAGGCAGTAAAAGCAAAAATGTTTTAAAAATGGGAGCCTGCAAAGTAGGTGACTAGTCACTGACTGCTATTAATAATTTAGGATCTAAGCAGAAATCCATCTCTAAACAGATGTTCTTGGATAATCAAGAAAAATTCAGATCTGCAAACTGTATGTGCTTTGAACTTTGATGTGAAAATCTAGATGCACATACAATTTAGCCATCTGTGTACTCTTACACACATGGAGCATACTACTAAAATGATAAGTGGAGTTAAATAGGAGAATGAAAACGAAACTTACTAGAATGGATCATGTTCAAGCTACTCAAACAAATGATTGACTTTCTCTCTCTTTGACTACCTTCATTCCAAAAGAAAAAATAACTGACAAAAATGAACAACTCTGTGAATCATGATGATAGACCATCATGAGTTCTTCAGTTTACTGTTCAGTTGGAAAACTGAAGTTTAAAGTAAAATAAAAATTCACCCAACATTTTGAAAGGCTTAGAAATATTTAATGCAAAATCTTTAGATGCAAAAATAAGTAATTACTTCCCCAAATATGGGCTTGAGAAACTAATCACCACTTTTGAAAACCTCAGTCCACTAGAGATTCAATTAACTTCTATGAAAAAAGTGAAATTATTTTAAAATTTGCCAATTAGCATTTCAAAAATAGCACATTGGTTTTAGCTACTCCGCATAACCATAGCTGATACTTATTAAGCAAGTGGTTGCCTCAGAAGTAGGCTAGCACTTCTCAGTGGGTGGGGAGGCAATTTTGCTTCCATAACAAAGAACTATCAGGATCAGATAGGAAGAGCTTTGAAGTTGAGAAGTCTTGTGCTAGTTTAGCCACTTTATATACCTTAATTCATTTAATATTCTCAGAAACCCTACTGCGAAGTAGAACCCTTCACTTTGCAGATAAACTGACTTGAAAAATTAATTTGTCAAGAAAGAGGTGGAAGAAACTGATAAATGAAGATATTAATACATGGAGCTAAGTCAGCTTCTCTGTGTGCTGAGATTTTAGCTACTTTACCATGTTAGCACTGTCCTTAAGAAGTTAGCTTGGTATGATACTGCAGGTAAAAAAGAAATGCAGCTAATTTCATATGCTCCATATGAAAGTCAATTTAATTTCTTGATTGCAACTGCATTGCATACAGTTTGCAGGCATGGAATAATTTAGGTACCCAGCAAGTGCTTAAGTAGTGACCAGTATCAGAAAGTTGTGCTATTAAACAGACCATACATTTGTGGAGATTGGAAAAGTGAGCTATTAGTTCAAAAGAGGGTGGCACATAATAGAAGGTACAAAGCTTCTAGAAAAATCAAGTGAAAGTGAAAAAAATGAGTCCATTCACCCAAAAATGACCATCTGTTTAATTCCTTGTTTGACACTGGCACTATAAAACAGGGGAGGCCCTAGTAGTTTATAAACCCATTACAGGTTTGTTCATTTTTTAAATGTCCTTATTGTCCAAATGACAGTGAACACATTCACCAGAGGATTTGTTCTAGGGAGAAAAGTAAAATACTCCCTTGTGTTAACAAGGGCACAACTAGTCCCACACAGCTAACACTACCCTGGCTTCACCTAAGGGATAGTGACAAGCTCCCTTACTACCACAGCCATACCAATGCAAATTAAGTCAAGGAAAATAAATCAAAACAAACAAAATATCTTCACATAATATTTTGGGGGGAATTCAGCTCATAGCTTGACACCTTGCTTCATTCTCTGTTTAGGACCTAAATATTCAACAAGAGTCAATCAACTATCTCCTCAAGCTTCTGTTCAAAAAAATTTACACATACAGTTTAGAGAAGTATAATAAATGAATCTTGTATTTATTTCTCAACAACACTTGAAGAGTCCAACCTTTACTGATATTAAATGAGAAAATAGTGCAAAAGCACCATATATTTTTATCCAAGCAACTTTTCTGGCTTTAGATGAAGAAAATAATTATTTTTGGTTGTGTAACTTTATCTTACACTATTGTGTACTGTTATATTATTGTATATGTATTCTGTACATTTTCACACATTAAAGATTTATGACACATATTTATATATAACAGAAAAATTAAAAAGCTGCATTATAATGTAATTTGGGAGTATATTGGGCTGACAAATTTCAAAGATGGAATATGATGGTAAAAGAGGAATATTTTAACAAACAGTGAGATATGGTCGAATTTGGGGGAAAAAATTGATGTTTTCTCACAATGATGATAATTATTCTTTTTACAAGAAAATAAAGGGCCAGGCATGGTGGCACATGCCTGTAATCCAGAGGAAGCTGAGGCAGGAGAATCATTGTGAGTTCGAGGCCAGCCTGTGGTTCAAAGTGAGCCCAAGGCCAGCCTGAACTGCATAGTGAGAACCTGTCTCAAATAAATAATAAATAAATGAATAAAAACACAAATAAATAAATAAAATGACCAGTTGTCCTATATAAAATGGCATTTGCTTAATTAAAACAGAAATGTGAAGAGCAAATTTAAAGAATCTTTTCTGCACAGGTATTAGTAGACACAAAGAAGAGAAAAAAATGAACCATGGGGGCTATCACTTAACAGGCACCTATTATGTATTTAAAGCCTATTCTCAAGCTGCTTACTATAGTTAGGTCACTATTCTGTGCACCAGCATTATTTATTGCACTCTATCCAGCATTCCACTCAGGCCCTAGGCAACCAATTTTTATTTCATAAGTTCTATCTCTCAGAAGAAAGGCATTGATATTTGGCAAAAAGTAAATCAAACAAACATTCCCTCTGGAGTTTTCCATTTTACTTAAGTTGGATGTGATCCTTCTAATGCTTATCATGCTCGCCATAATAAGTAGGAGAAGGTCACAATCCAGAACATATTTTTAGCTTGTGTTGCTTCTCTATTGTAATATGCTTGATTTTTCATTTATTAGATCACATTCATCATGTTAAAGAAATACATTCCTACATAACATCATTCAAATTTTATATTTTTGACCAGTCTAGTTTAAATTTTTAAAAACAAAACACAGCAGAAATGTAGTTGTTATCTTTTTAGTTAAGATCTTGTAGTATTGTGGAAGACGAGGACACTGGGACACAAACAAAATTGATGCAACTTTGTGCAGTAGGTTATTAGCCGTTTCACTAGCGATGTTACACTTTCCCCTGACTTTCCCTCCAAGGTTTACCTTCACATTCTATATCCGATTTTAAAATGTTACTTTTTTCCCATTGATCACTTTAATTAATTATTTAAATGTGACTCTAACATCTTTCCCAATATACTTAAGAGTAAAATAAAAGTTATAGAACGTAATAACCAAATTCTGTAATTAGTTATTTTTATGAAGAAATCAAGATAGCGGAATCAAGATAGAGGAGTTCGGAATTAATTTATTATGAAGAGCTATGCATGGCTTACAAGGAAATAGCTAAATAAATGGTGAATTTTGATTGGTCTACCTGAGCCTTCCTCTGTACCTGTCTTCGCTTGTGGGTGCAGCACAGTACCCGACAGCCACAACTTTAAGGAGGGGAAGTTATGTTGGCTGATATTGCAATCCATGACTGGCCAGCTCCTAAGAAGGAACGGCATGGCACGGGGGCACGGAGAAAGGCAGACTGCTCACGTCATGGCAGTGGGGAAGTACAGCGATCAAGGGAGAAGCCCGAAAGGAGATGTACCATTCCAGGTACCCCACGGTGACCGGCGTCCTCCAAGCAGACCCCTCCTCCCAAAAGCAAGTCGGCTGTAATGTCCCAAAGCCAATCATCCTCCAAACACAGTGGCTTTGGGGGTCATTTTAGATCTAAGCCATAGCAGTGACTGTGTGAAGAAGCTTAGTTTCCTAAGACTTAAACTTCACAAGCCTGCTAACTCAGACATTAAATT